TGAGCCGCGTGAAATTAAACTGTTCAGCTACTGGATCACCGCTGCCAACGATCGAGTGGAGCAAAGATGGCCGACCTTTATCTGTAAACACTACAGTTCRCCAGACCAATAAAGAAACTATAGGCGAGTTGGTCATTGATTCGTTCATGCCTCAAGACCAAGGACAATACAAATGCTTTTTTAGAAACTACGAGAATGGAACGGTCGAAACTACAATAAAAGTCTGTAAGTAAAGGTCGAATGAGGGAGGTTAACTTTTGCATACAACCAAAGTATGCAACATGCCTAAGTCATCCCATAGTTATTAATTATGGTCATCCTTACTACACGGCTACAACTGCGTTTTTGTTCTGAAGCAATTAATATGAATATCTAAGACCATGTTGTATCCATGTTKTAAAGACGACTTGGGCAGGTCGTAATTCGACCTTAAGAATGCATGACCCCATCATATAAATGAAGCCTTGTTACCACAACAGTACTCTATCTAAGCTTCCTTATTTCCTACCAATCGATGATTAAAAATGCTTATTAATTTTCAACTCATGCACCTATCACAGCGTCAACAAAAGACACAATCAAATTCCACGTATTTTTATAGCTCTAATGACCTGTGGTGATCCTGGAAAACCATTGAATGGCTATCGCACTGGTAATGAGTTCTGGGCTGGAAATATGGTATTCTATACTTGTGATCCTGGTTATTACTTGGTGGGACCATCCAACCGACTTTGTCTGGAAAATGGTGCATGGAGCAACTCCATTCCATCATGTAGGTTTCTATCCCTTCTCTCTCAGTTTAACTGCAGGAAATGGATTTACAGATTTCATATGGAGGCATTAATGCCGGTATTCACAGTTTAATGAATAATGGTGTGTTTTATTTTATAAACTTTTTTTCCTGTAAAACCAAGCGTAACCATATTCCTATCATAACCAGTCACAAGCTGCGAAATTATCATTTATGCAAGTTCAATCKCGTGACTATTTTCTTAATGCTTCAAGATGCGTAATTAGAAAAAMATGTTTTATTCTCTATACAGTATGTTGTACCATATAAAAGAGCAATATTGAATAGGGTTCCTTGCATTACTAAGCAAACAAAATGAGCAAAAAAAGAAATAAAGAAAAAAATAAATTGAATTAAAATAGCAGTTGTTCAGCGATTTTTTTTTCAGGCCTATTTTAAAATGTTTTCAAGTATTGTTATTTTCAACGGTAAAAAACTGTTTTTATGTCATTTGCTTTTGAATATTTAGTGACAAATCCACACGAAGCACTTTTCGCAATACGTGAATATTGAGAACTGATGAGTTTGTTTTTTCTTTAACAATTTTCCAGGCTATAAGAGCCAATATTCAAACATTCTCAAAAATCGAACAGACTACTATAAGTTAATGAGAGTGTGGCTTGCTCCAACTACATGCATGCTAACAAGATGGGTACCATGCTACCAAAGCAGACTTCACGGATGGGCCAGCAGAACATTCCACGCAAAATGCGATGGTAAAGGTCCGACTATTACAATCATCAAAGTGAACAAATACATATTTGGAGGCTATACAGACGTAAGCTGGCGTAAGTATTCCAGTTGTTGATCTTTGCTATATTCGGGGGTTAACACAGAACATCCATCACATTGGTACAGCTTTTTTATACTCACAATAACGTATTATAATTGTTTTCTTTTTTAAAGATACCAAAGGGTCCTACAGCACATCAGTCAACTCGTTCCTGTTTTCATTCGTAAACAAAGATAACTTGAAGCCATTTAAAATGAAAGTTTTCAGATCACAGCATGCAATTGAGGGATATAGCAGCTGGGGACCAAGATTTGGAGGCGGCGCTGACATAGCTATTTATATTAAAGCTGGTAGCAACAAAATCTCCTATACGAACCTTGGAAATAGCTATGTACTGATTAAGGGCTACACATATGGATCAACTAAAGCAAGGAACCTTCTTGCAGGATCGTACAAATTTCAGCCAGACGAGGTCGAAGTGTTTCGGCAAGATGGCTTAGAGGTTTAGGTGAAAGAAACTCTGACAAAACACAGGGATCCCACTTAATATATCGATGCCGCTTTTGACACATACGATATTTACAGGAAATAGACCTAATCGGCTAACGCGCTGCTATAAACGTTTCGAACCAATTCAAACCACCCGGTAGTAAGTTTGTGTCTTCGTATTTTCATTTCACAGTTGAATTCTTAGAAACAAAGTTCTTTTTCAGTTACTACAGGATTTGAATTGGGTGGTAACGTACATGACAACGCGTAAGCCGATCAGGTTTATGCATTACAATAAACCCTTTTAGCGATCTCTTTTACGCTGTGTTAGCCTCAAAACCATGTAATAAATTCTTTTATTCACAACAGCCCGTGCAAATGCAAGAGATCTGTGAGTATAGAAGACAATGGAAATAGTTTGAAATCTCACGAGTTTTATCTAAATTTCTGAATATTTTAGCACACAATTGAGGCTAACACAGCGTAAAAGAGATCTCGAAACTCGACTATTGTGATAGTTGTGCAATTTGCATATTGATAGTAAATGTATGGAGCAACTAGTTATCTTTTAATGTTTCCTTAATTTTTATAACGTTTATTTCTCTCGTTTGATATCAAATTACATAGAAATAGCTAGAACTTTTTTTATAGAAACGTACTATCACGTGACTGACATCAGACCAAGTGCACATTTAGCCAAATTTATGCAGCTGTGATAAATTTAGAGGCAGATCTCAATTTCAAACCATGCAAGGAAAATGTGAACAAAATTGAGAATTGAAATTGAAAAAAAAAGTGCCCAGAAGTAACAAAGCTTCTCCCTTCCGTAAAGTTGTTAATTTCACAGTGAAAATAACTGATTCGTTGTATCTCTATATATTGGAAGTAAATAAAAGTTTGTTTTTAAGATATAATTTGCTTTCATAGATAATTATATGATAAACAGAATGTTCGCTTGGAGATACGGATTTTATTTTCTCTGTCTTCTTGTGCTGAAAATCCGTCGCTATGCTTCTTGTGAGAGATNAAAGAGAAATAAAGTGTAGTTAGCTAAAATGTTTTTACATTCCCAACTGAGCTATTCCGGCTATTTCCTAGGCTCAGTCTCCAGCCGTCGGGATTTCGTGCGCCCGCGATACTCTCTCCCCTGACGGCTGGGCGCATGAGGTTCGCTATTGTCAGTCTTGACCAATCAGCGAGTGGCCCCCGATATTTTGAGGGGCATATCATTAATAAATTAGCAGGCAGCAGTGTAACAAAATGGCGTACAATACGTCGTTTGAGATTCTCTTTGAAAGTGCTTGTTTGAAGGCTCTGAAGTCGTTTAGCTTGGACGAATTTAGAGAAATACAGCAAAAGGCTCTTAAAGAGATTGTTCTTGGAAAAGATGTCCTTGTTATTCTTCCTATACTGGCTCGGGMAAATCTCTTATTTTTCAAACAGCGCCACTAGTGTATTTTGCTCGTTTTTCWAGCAGATAATACATCCATTTGGATTATTAAACCCTGCACATGTTTTACTTGGGGTAATTTMCATTCCTTTCTCTTTTTTAAAGCGCTAACTATTACATTATATCGCTACTTCGCGAAGTTTTCATTTCACATAATTTCCCGCCTTGTAGCAAAACCTTTACGGCTGTTGTCAGATATTTCACTTCCGTTCACTGAAAAATTCACTTCCGTTACGTCATAATATGCTAATTACACAAAAACGTCACGGACATGCGCGACACGTTTTGAACCCAATGCGCCCAGCCGTCAGGGGAGAGAGTATCGCGGGCGCACGAAATCCCGACGGCTGGAGACTGAGCCTAGCTATTTCCTCGTGTTAAGAAAATAATATTAAGAACCAAAAACTTGCCGGAACCCGGGATTGAACCAGGGACCTTCAGATCTTCAGTCTGACGCTCTCCCAACTGAGCTATCCCGGCTAGCTACATGTTGTCAACAGATTTCTTCATTGTTTCAAAATATTTACCGGACAATATTCAGTGCTCACACTATATCCATGAAACAAGATCTACTAGAAACGATGAGATTTTTAATTATTAGCTTAGAGTGATGTTATTAAGTCCGTGAAACAAAAATTGATTATTAGAGTGTGATAGCCAAATAGACACAAAAATAAAACAATGTAATTAGAGTGTACTAAGGTGTATTTGTCTTATATCATTTTCACGGGGTTTTCGACTTCACTTTATCGATTTCACGGGTTTTACGAAATTACTATATTGCACTGTATAATTGCATTGATTTGGGGTGATGGGGCGAACCATTCCACTAAATGTTTCCTCGTGTTAAGAGAATAATATTAAGAACCAAAAAACTGCCGGAACCCGGGATTGAACCAGGGACCTTCAGATCTTCAGTCTGACGCTCTCCCAACTGAGCTATTCCGGCTAGCTACATGTTATCAACAGATTTCTTCATTGTTTCAAAATATTTACCGGACAATATTCAGTGCTTACACTATATCCATGAAACAATATTTACTAGAAACGATGAGATTTTTAATTATTGCCGTAGAGTGATGTTATTAAAACCGTGAAACAAAAATTGATTATTAAAGTGTCATGGGTTCGGCTCGCGTTGTAAGCACGAATTTCAGGTCAAGTGCACGATCGCATGCGCAGTTCTTTTTCTTAATTTATCAATACAGGATTCTTATATATATATATAGCTATTCCGGCAAGTTTTATATCATGGAAGTGTTCCGGCTTGTTTGTGTTTTTTATATAAATGTCAGCCAGAAATATAGAGTCAGTAGCCATAACAATGTTCTATTAAACTGTTTTAAACAAGGTGTATATATTTATTGACATCGGAAAGATGTTGTTTGGGCCTCAAATCTCCATATTCAGCATGGAAACCCAGCATTTTGCCACTTAGTTTCCTTTTTCTTGTCGCGTTATTGCTACTCAAGATTTTCTACGGTACCATCTTGTTTGATGTTGAAAGTTTATTGTCTTAAACATGTTGGATGGGTTTTGAGGTCTATCAATTAGTCTCATTCAAACATCATTTCTTTTCTTGTCAGTTTGGCGTGCTGGGGGCCAAATAAGCCTGAAATTAAATGTCAATATCAATCTGCTTTT